GTGTTGCTCATGGGCGGTTGAGGGGTTTTCAATGTTTCTGCTGACAAGACCTTCTCAGAATGCGCTATTTGATATATTTCTATTTGATTCCGGATCGACTTTCGCACCTCTTTCTTTTATACTTCCCAGGTAGAACTTGTATGTTGCTCGGCTATAGCACGGCCAACAGATCGGCGACTTCCAACCCTCACCGCTAGAGAGATTACCACAGTGGACGCGCAAGTTTACTTGTGAGGACTGCTTTCTGATTTGCACAATCCTTTCTTTGAGACATTGTACACCCACCTGTTAATGTGGTCCTTTGCGTGTACTAGGCGAAAGAGTCCGCAGATGCAGTAGCCTACCACACTTTATCCGCTCAAAAAAGCACAGGAACGGGGCTGCAGGGTAGTGGCAAACAGCATGACACCTCATAGCTGGTATACCGGCAGTTCAAACAAATTCTTTCAGCAAATTCAGCAACCACAGCCACAACAACAATGCGTGCCCGCATGTCAACCAGCTTGCACCACAACGTGTATTCAAACTCAGCAGGTTGTTTGCTTGCGTGGTCGAAACCTGGTTTATTATTGTGCTGATCTCCCAATGATCCACTTCAGGTACAGCAAGTGCAGCAACAGCAAGTTCAATGCGCACCAGCGTGCCAACCGGCCTGCTCGACCTCATGCGTTCAGCAGCAACCTGTAAGACTTTCTTAGCAAAACAGTCTTAATACTTCTCCATTGAGGAATGGCTGCGCCTGGATATTTGTGGCTATTATCCAAATATTCTTAAGCACCCTTCAGGTACAAGCGCCACAAGTTGTCCTGACGATCAACGTGCCAGTTTCCGCTTCCTCTCCCCAGTGCCAACCTCAGTGCGAGCAAAGCTGCAACGTGCAGTGCGTGCAGCAAAATCAGGTGAACATCCCTGACAATCATCCTATCGAGAAAAGTTTGAGCTGAGAGGCATGCCCTCGGGCGGAGTACATATCGCTGCAGCACCTTCTCCCTTAGTTCTCATCTGATCCACTTGTCCATTACTAGGTACGTTTATGTAGTGACCTATTCAGGCGAGTCAATGTGCACCGGCCTGCGCGACATCCTGTGCTACGTCCTGCCAAACGTCCTCCGTCATCGCCTGCCAACCACAGATGAGCTCTGGTGTGGCGTGTACCTGCCCGCAGAACTATAACCCATGCGGTACTTCGCAATGCTGCCGTCGTCGCTAGTGAATTTGCTCAACGTCTTGCCTTCTCAGAAGCAATGTCTTTGTACATGTATATAAGTACTTTGAATAAATCCATGCTCAAAAAAGCTGTGAGTAACATTCTACAGCGGAAAAAAATACGAAAAAATGCACTTTGCTACTGTAATGCGCCATGCATTCGATTGTCGATATTCGATTTACAAATTTACATTCGATTTGTAAAAACCAACTACAAATTACATGGTGCTACTGTAAAGTATAACCATGCGTTGTTGAAAAAAACCACCTTTACACATCTCCAAAAATGGCTGTTCATAACATGCTGTCTCACACCACATGGCTTTAGTTTACAACACGTACTGACTGTTGTCGCTGCTATCGCCATTTCGCCAAAAAAAACTCCCAATTGTCTATTTCGGCCGCGTTCGCACTAGGACTAACGCTAAGACCTCCCATTCTTTTTGCAGGAACTCCCGTTTTAGTTCGGATCTATTATATTCTTCTCTTCAGACAAGTTGTGGTGCAATTCTTCTTGATAGTCAAAGATGATTCACGTTTTTTTTTTTTTAACCTTTTTTGAGTATTGATTGGTGAATCGAGAGCCTACGTATCATCGCCAAATAAACTTCCTCACCAAGATCATACCCCTTTCAAAATAAGGCACAGAATTGTCTTACCGTTCGAAGTTCACAAGAATTGCTGAGTTCGTGGGCAAAACGTCGTCCCCAGGCGGAGTCGAACCCGCCATCTTCACCAATAAACGTTGGTCGAGGCTGATAGGCTACCGCAGAATAAGCCGTTGAGCTTGAGAGAGCAGTGAAAAGCCGCCTGGGTGCCGTTAACGGATAGTTTCGCACCTCGCTCGGAAATCGTGAGTGCGGTTCGACTCCGTCCTGGGCACGACTTTCTTGCCCACAACTCAAAGCAGTCTTGTGTTGATAAATTGTTTCTTAGGTATGTTCTCTCAATTACCTTTGCGGTTATTCTGTCTGCATACACCACTCATTGAAACAGAAGAAACCCCCCATAACTGGCAGGAAGAAGAGTATTGCTTCACAAGAGACTAAGATAACGTCGATAAAGGATCCGGCATTCTTCAAATCGACGAAAATGAAAATTTCCGCTTAACTTGCTGCGGAAAGAATGTTTAGCGTGTGCTCTCTGACGCTGTTTGTATTAGTTCCTATATCATTTGCACTATAATTGTAGCCAACTATTGGGAAAAACGCTGAAACAAATCACAAAAAATATAACGATTAGATCGGCGTCGGTATATTCCATCAGTTAACGCATATGCCGAGAAAGAAGAGTTTTTCGTACTCCCGGAGTAACACGCCGCTCTTCGAACGGTCGCCGTTAACAGTCAGTCCTAGAAGCTTGACGTTGCTGCCGTTAGTTGTAGGAAAACACATCAGAAACACCCACATACAACTGAGCCCATACCCTTGACTACTCAATTCTCATTCACTACTAAACGCATAATCTTAGCGCTAGTAGTCGAAACACTGCATTAGTATCAGGAAGTTGCTAGTTTACAGGCGTCGCCTCCAAGAAAAGTACAAGTGTCAGCCAGGAGTGCATGGGCAGACCATTCCCCAGAACATGCCGCCCACTTATAAGCGGCCAAAAAACTCCGTTGAAAATTCAAGTTGAGCAACCGGGCGACCCGTTATTTTCCCAACTCAATCTAATCAATCTGAGAAATATAGTTCCACTAGAACTAATGAAAGACAATTATTCATTTTGTCTGTTACAATGAGTGCGTGATTATTCATTCTTGCGTTTTGAATATCATTTTGTGTCTTTGTTCAGAACGACCATTTCGAATAATTGAAAAAAAACAAATTGTCCTCTTCCATGTTAGTTTGTTGTGTCTAGCTAGGTGAAGTGCTTAGTGTAATCGCCACATTTTTTCAGTGTTGCTGATGTTCTGGAACCGTTCGGTCAAGATGGCGATTCGTGTGAGATCCGCATTGTGAACTAAGCACCTTATGATACACTCGCAGTGTGGGTCATCGCGGAATGTTCCTTTGAAGACAGCGCCCGCGGTCGACTTTGGCAGGCTCAAGGGGACAGATTTATTAGAACAGGTGGTAAGTAAGGCCTAAACAAAAAAAGCAGGAAAAAGGCTGCGAGAATATGGAATGAGACCCTGTTTGGTTCGACCCATCTGGACGAGTTTCGCAGATGTGGACGAGTTTCCCAGAACTACGTCGCCTCGTCGCGGCTAATTCCCATGAGATCACTACACTTTAGTTCGTTGCGGACGGTTGGGCGTGCCAGCCAGTATGAGTGTGTCACCCCGTCAAAGCCGTTCTCTGCCTTCTTGTTGAAAAGCGCATGCGACAAAAAGTGGTAGAAAACGAGTAATACGAAGGATATGATACAGTATTGTCACTTGCCCGCTTCAACAACTGGTGGAGAACGAGTTTGGCACCGCGCCAAACGCAGCCGCACTGACACGCCCAGCCGTCCGCTGTGAACTACACACTAGGTTGTTTTAGAGTCCATCTATCTAATCTAATTAATCTAATCTGTCTATCAGTTAATCTTTCTATCAGTGTACGAAACGAACGCTAGAAATTTAGCGATTATCAATGCCAGCGAGGATTGATAATGGAAAACCAGTCGAGGCGGGATTAACACGACAGGCGGAGTCAGCTTATCATTGTTGACTCCGCCTTCGTCTATCAATCGATTTCGAGTCGCAGGAGTGGGATATCCTCTGTGGTTGCGGACTCCGCGATCTTGTACAGTACAGGGTTTCTTCACCTTGGTTGATCGCGGACGCTGTCTTGAATGAAACTGTGTTCTTTTCATATGACTTCGCATGCTTTCGAGCTTTTAGAGACAGATCTTGTGTATCTGAGAAGATTTATCATCAATCATGGAGGAATACAGAGCGATTCCGCCGCATCACATATGCAGCCCTCGCACCTGCAATCACCATCCATCGAGCACGGTTCTCCTACGTCGTAAATCAGCGAGTCAATGTAATTTCCACTGAAAGCCATTTTTCAATAGAAACATAGGAGAAGAAGTTTGGCTGTTGCCGAGACACACTTACGCAGGGCTGTATTCACATCCAACGAGTGTCATTTGATCACACCACATCACTGCACATCCTATTTTGGTAGTCGATTGCCAGACTAGCTGAAACGCTCACATTCAACCCGCTGTTGCCTGAGATCATTACAATATTGTTATCCGACCTGAGTATAATGACCTACGCCCGAATCGAAAACTTCCTGGGTCAGCACGTTGTCCTGAGGTATACCAAATTGCTCTAATTCGCTGAACCAACTCTCCACAGCCTAAAATTGGAGTAATTTCTGCTAAGAAGGACTGACAGGGATAAAGTTGATATCCGCACCATTTCTGCTGCGTTCGTCTTGTTCATGCTAAGCGAAGATATCGCAAAAAGGTTTTGTCCGAGACCAGGTCTGTACTCCTTTGGTGAGTGTTCAAATCGACATCGTTTGGCCCACTCCATCATATTTTTCTCAATTCCGCAATCGTAGCTCTGCAACAGTTCACTATTACCACTATTTGAGTAATGCTCTGACTTTAAGCGTGTGTGACAGTAGGACCACGCGGCGTCGCGCGCGCAATCGCGAAGACCGTCATGTTACTCGGCGCGCTCTCGCGATGTTTTTGTTCTCGCAACGGTGACATTTCCCTGCTATTTTTTCTACAGGGTAGTCCGTCGTACCTCAGCGATACGACAGTATCGCTGACTGTCCAGAAAGCATTGGGACTGTCAAAAGATTAGTAGATCAGCTGATGAGCTAAATTAACTGGCGAGTAGAACCTGTGCAGATTTTTCTGCACTAAAATTGCTGTGTAATCACTCTAGTTACAGTTTCTACAGAATGGAGAATGTGGCTGTAACCCCAAGCGAGTACAACCTTATTGAATAACGCAATGGTTCACCACGGATGGGCGCCACTACAAGAACGAGGTTCTGCAGATAGACGCGCACGCGACGACGCGTGGTTTTGAACACCGTTATCCTGACCTCAAGAGCATTACTGCACCTGAACACGAGGGAGATGCTCAGGATTCATTTGCAAACTCTAGTGCTGGTAACTTCTGGGTAGTCAACACTACCGTGAAACAGAAACTGCCGTCTTACCATTCTCATCATTCTTGCAGCTGGTGAAGAGTGGCCAGCCTTCGGATTGATGGCTTGCCCTTTAGCGACGATTGATCTGCAAAATGCATTATCATTCCAACCATATGGACAGAGTTCGCAACTGACCAACATGCAGAAGCCTTTTATTGTACACGATCATGGTGCCTATAATCGCAGGGGATGTCCCGATTCCCTAACAGGAAAGTGTTCGGTAAAAGCACGAACGTTCGTAACCCAGTCTACCTTTCTTTTCTATTTCTTCTCATCATGAATCTAGAGCTGAGAGCTGTGGTACCTACCAGTCTGCGTTCATACTTTGCGGAAGCGTCTACCAGCGTCTCGAAGGCTAAGGAAGCATAAAAATCGATTTGGCGTCTGCCAGCGTCTGCCAGCCTTAACGGGAATGTCAGTTTAGATAGACTGACCTCACCCAGCACCTTACCATGCTCGCCTGTGGGGAGACCGTGTGAGATCGCCTGTGGTGTGACCACTCTTAAAGACACTTACCGCGATAAAGTGGTCCTCAAAATGAATTCGTGCTGTTTGGAACCCTCTACGCCTTGACGAAGATGATAGCACTTTCATCCCTCAATATGGCGCGATGAGGAAGTTATAGCGATTTCCACAAGGCTCGCTAGGCTCGCTGAGACGGTAGGTGGACGAGGCGTCCGGTCCCGAGCTGCTTCCGTCCCTTTAACGCCCGCGCGGCGCGTCTCGTGCGCGGCCCTTCTGGCACTTAGCCAAAGTTGGTTTATAGCTGGCTGGAAGCGCAAATTCTTAGAAAAGCATACATAGGATAAGAGAGAGGCAAGAAACTAAAGAAGGCAGTGAAGGAGGATTGAAGAAAAAGCACGGGGAGATGAGTATCACGTACGAAAGTCTGTTTC